TTTTGGTGCAGGGGCCTTCTAGTTTTAAAGATATTTAGTGGTAAATTATTTTTATTTTTTTTAATAGTAATATATTATGAACTACATAACCGATTGAAAAAAGTAATGTGTCAAAATAAAGATAATTAACTTATCTTTCCGTTCATGTACATAATTTATATTTGTCTTCATATTTAAAACCCAAAAAATAGTAAAAAACAAAGTATTTATTTATTTAATTGTTAGAATCATAAAATAACTTTTTTAAAAAAATAATTACGTAAATAATGCTAAAGAAATGTTCATTATTTAGAAAGTACAAGTACCTTTAAATTAGTATAAAGGAGAATTTTGGGTAGTAAGGGTTATAATCCCTAGAGAAGTTCCGCCTCTCTTCTCCGGAAACACGAAAAGGAAAATTCTGCGTTATAAAACGGTGTTCACATGAGGCAATTTTCCGGGCAATTTACGTTCACACCAGGCGATTTTTGCTTTCAACTAAAAGTTGACTGTAAAATCGGCTCATGTAAACACCCTATAAGGCTTACGATTCGAAAGCGCAGCCGAAGGCCGCCTATGTAGAGGGATTTCCGGTACCTCTTCTCCGGCAACACAGAAAGGAAAACCTACCTTTTGAATAAAACATATTGCTTCTAAAATGCTATCGAAACACAAAACATCTAAATATAATTGGAAGTTACTTTATTTTTTTATCACCTCAAAGGCGTACGGCATGTTCTTAACCATGGAAATGCCAAAATGCAAGTTTCAATTAAAAGAAAAATTAGTATTTTTTTACAACGCTTTTATCAACATGCAATGTTGTATGTCCAGACACCTTTGCTATAATTATAGATTATAATCAAAGTTTCTATAAAAAAGTCTAGATATCAAACTCGTCGGCAGGTATCATATCAAAGGCCATACAATACATACGAGAGGTAGATGTCGCCTGCCGGAAGTAGTTAAATATTGCGCCTAAAAATATACACTCGCTCGCTCTAATTTTATGAGCTACGCTCCCACCCTACTAAAAACAAAAACAGGGAAGTTTTAGGAACATTTTTAAATATTTAGTAGTGAAAATTTTTCTTTCGGATTCTGAGCCCTTGAATCTGCATAGTATATGTAGTATAGCAAGATAAATTGGATGAGTACTAGGTATTTTAATCCCGGGATCCCGGTCTTTTTTAGGTAATTCGGGATTTGTAATTTTCACTGATGGCATAATAGAAACTCCTTTTCTTGACCAGCACTGGCTATATTTACTCTTTTATTTAATAATAATTATCTTTTCATAAATGTCTAGCTCATTATACATATAATACCGTGCGGTAGTAAATTTTACACAAAAAATCAATATATTCGTGAAACCATGGGCCAAATATAGTAATTTAAAAATGATTTTAAAAATTCAGAGAAATGTGCTTAGAGAAGAAGTATGGGTATAAAATTGATGAGGAAAACCTGTAGAATTTAAACAGATTCAAGTTTCTGGTGCAGAAGGGCTGGCTGGTAAATATTGAAAATGTCATTTTAAAATTTTATGCTTGAAATTTCGCAATATTTGTTTTTGCAAAAATTGTATGTTCAGGATTAATATAAACTCGTTTACATTCTCGAATTTCGTCCTTTTAACCTTATCAGCTTAAAAAATTTCCTATTCGTCCTTGTGCATCCTAAAAATTTAATTTAATTTTTTTCTGCCCAATTGGTATTAAGAAAAGCGCGCAATAGTTATGGTAAATGAGTCAACGAAGGCGTACTACCACAACACAATCATGGTGTCTCCGAATAAGACTTAAGCGCAATATAATACATGGCGCCAATCGTAACACACGGCATCTTGGTTTAGTCCAGAGATGGGCAAAGTGGCTCCCAGGAGCCTTTTGCACTTAGGAGCCGGCGTGGCACATTTAGGTGGTAGATGAGAGGTAACATCAAGAGCCAGCGCTAAGTGGGAAGAAGAGCGTATTCAAATTTCTTGTACTCCGACTCTCATTACTAATATATATTATGATTTTAATATATTTTGTACATCCCTTTTAGCCTGAGAACTGATTTAGCTCTTGCGTGCCACTTGCTGACTTTTTGGCGGCTTTAAGAGCCAAAAATCTGCCCATCCCTGGTTTAGTCCATGGTGCAGTCGTGCTGAAAATCTGCGCTAGTTCAGTATTTTTGTCATATAAAAATGCACATAAATAATCAGTACAATTAGAAAAGATCATTATATTTAGTAAAAAAAAAATTGCCAGCCTTGGGGGCCGTACATTCATAACAAATAAGCAATTCCGTTTTATTCAAATTGAATACCTTTCACTTAAATTTATTTTATCAAATTGAGTAAAAGGTCTGAACTTTTATGAAAAAACCTTTGCTTAGAAACCTTATGCATACGGCCCATTATGTATTGTATATATTTTTATATCTCTGTCGTCTTTCGTCTGACAATCTTGCTAATTTCATAATTTCTTACAGGATCCTGCGCAGAAGCAAAGAATTCTGGATGAAATTGAATCAGAAATTTACGAGATAAATGCTGAACAACACTTTCTATTCCTTCGGTTACGACGAATAATTGATGAATTCTCAAAAATGTTGAAAAGAAACGATGTTCCTATGGATTATGGAGCAACAAATGCTATGATTTCTCGGCATGTGGTACCGCTTATAAACGATCCCACTATCGAAATATTGCCTTCAACCGTACTATTTCGGAACACAGAACAAAAACTTATCGAAAAGTACTTTGAGGTCCAAAAAGAAAAAGTAGTTTATGAAATTAAGGACTCTGATGAAGAGGATAACTTACCTCAAATATCGGAGGAAACAATAGGAATGCGGTGGTCTAAGTCTATGTGCGAAATGGCTAACGAGACTTTAACTACAACTGATACGTGCTCGTTGCAAGGCCCAAATAGTTTCTCTCAAATGTCTTTGCTAAAACCAATTTCTCAACGAATGGTTGGCAATGTTGGTATCGGTTCAGACAATTTTGGAAATTTTCATGATGCTTCAAGGTATTTGCAAATGAATCTTGTGGAAGAAAAAAATATTGAGGATAATCAGAAAAATGCTGCGTTAGCACTCGATGACCCCTCTAAATTTTCCGATGCGCTATCTAAAAATGATGTCCCCAATGAACAATTGATTGATCTACCTGTATCAAAAAATGTGAAAATCAGTCGGCTGAATCTAAGGCAAGCTCTTAACAAGGCACGCACCGAAAATATGGTGGCAAAGGCAGCCGCGAACATGCTAGCACGCTCGACTCCCACTTCCACAATAAATCAATATAACACGCGCACTGACACGGCAATTACACATCCTCAAAGAAGATATGAAATTAGGACAAGAGCGGCAAGAAATAATGCTGGTAGCGCAGTATCGATCGCAACTCTTTCTAAGGAACGAAATAGTTCAGAGCTAAATTCATCCTCAGAGGATTCAAATCCTGAACCTCTTCCAATGCCCGCAAAACCTCATATAGGTTTCATAGAATTAACAGAACATCGAACTCTACCTGAACATTATGGGCAGGAAATGTTCTTACGACTTTTCCAACTATTCACTCCTACTGTTCTTGTCCAGATGCAACAAAGGCGATCAAAACGCAAACGCCGTTCTGTACACAACAACGAGCGGGCGGATTTTCACTATGGGCGCATTGAGGTAAAGTATTCGGTATATTAATATATGTATATATGTATATTAGACTGCATCCCTGCCCATACAAAAAAATGGGTACTGTTTTTCCATTGGAATTATAAAATTTATTATATTTTAAGACTTGCGCCAAAAATTGTTCAACGGAATCATAATAATGAGATTTTTGATGCTGTTTTTGAACTTTTTTCAAAAATCGTTTTAGGAAAAACTTGAATAACTCAGCCAAAACTTTACTCATTTAGGCAAGGTACCATTGGAAAGGTATTTTCCCGCCCTTTTTATTTATTTGCAAATAAACTCAATCACATCCCTTTTTTTGCAAACATCAACACATCTTTATTCAACTTGAAATGACGTTCGTTCATCTTACCTTTCTCTTTCATACCTTGAATCAGTTCATTTGCCAAGATATAAAAAAGATGAGAAAATACTTTTACAATGATACCACATAAAACCAAATTAGTATGGTTTTGTCTGAGATATTCAAGTTTTTCTCAATCCTATCTTTAAAAATTATAAGATTTCTTGAGCTTAGGCTCTTTTGTAATAATTTTAGTTCAAAAAGTAATTTAAGAAACTATTTTTTTCACAAAAAAAGTATATTTTTGGAGGTATTTTCAAATCGGTACAGCTCACGTAAAACTTAGTATTCTTCCGAAATATTTTGGTGGAAGTCTTCAAACTTAATAAATTTTGTAATCCCGGCGAAAAAACCGCTGCTTTTTTTGTTGATGCAGCCTAATACATAATGTGACCAACCGTACTTCTTTCGGAAGTACAGTACTTCTTTTTGAGCCGTTGTACTCCGTACTTCGAAGTACAGTCAAATGTACTACTTTGCAATATTTTGTACTACCTTTTAAATTGAGTTTTCTTTAACTGAAGCGAAACGAACGAGTTTTCTTTAACGAAAAATTCTAAAAGGTTAGTCATCTCAGTTAAAAGGGTACCCGTAGATCAACACATATCGTCGCCTGGGTAAAAGAATGTCGTAAGCGCCACTTTGACGATTTTTAGTTCTAGAGGCAGTTATATATTTTGAAATAAGGTCTTTCGATTGGTGCTATCAGTTTTTTAGATATCTCCTTTAGTTTCCGAGATATTGACTACAACTTTTTCGATAATTTAGTAAAAATTTAGTTGGTGATGCAGTCGTATTAAACTAATCAATATCTTAAAAATGGATATATACTTTAGTTTCCGAGATATTGAGTAAAAAGTGTCGTTAATTTGGTAGAAAATTTGATCACATTTTGTCGTATCTCATACAAAGTGGCTGCCAAATTGTGGACAAATGACGCTTACGACAAAATTTTACAAAAGAAAATCCTTCATAAACTCAAAACTAATTAACAATAAACATTAAAAATTAAATAATTGAAGAATTTTAAGAACTAGTAACACTTTCAGAGACTTTGGAGAAAATCTATCTTCGCATTTTTCAGAAATGGCATTCCAAACTTCAATCGCGATTTCCCACAACCTGCCGAAATTAACATACGACAATCTTTTACCCAGGCAACGATATGTAAATTATGACTGTCAATCACTTCACATCTGTAGCTGACAAATTTCATTGTAAGGTACTATTCAATCAATAAAAATTTGTAGACTTTGGCGTTGGCGTTGGCTTGACAGAACGCACGTTAAAAGTATGCTTGCTACAATGAACGCTTTGCACCGAATGCCTTGGCCACTAAATTAACATACTAACGACAGATAAATTAATATTTCATATCAATAAATTCATGAAAAAAGTATTTTTGGATTGTTCCTCCCTTTCAAGACTCGTATGGCCTGATTTTTGGAAAATAAAATAAGGAGATTTATGATGGGAGATTTTCAAACAATTTTTTGATTTATGAAGAACTCTTTATTTTTTATACTACTCGGCTTTCTCATGAAAATTTAATTTATATTCTTATAACTCCAGTCTACATACATATCGCGAACTTTCTTTAAAGGTGTACTAATTCAATATTTACCTTATCTTGTCAATTTAACTGAATTAAGTTTTTCAAACAGTATTTTCAAAAGTATTTTCGACAGTAAACTTTCTTAAACCGATTTAATTTAACACCAGAATTATAATATTTAAAATATTCCTCAAATATTCCCCGTAGCAAACTTTCCTAAACCTCTTTATTTTGATACCCATATTGCAATATTTAATTTATCTTACTAACTAAAACAAACAAAAATTTTCAAACAGGTTGCAACGTTCTCCAAAAAAAAATTTTCGGCTGTGAGCCTTTTGAAACCTCTTTATTTTGACAGTCATATTGCAATATTTAATACATCGGTGAAAACTGCTTTCTATTTCTATTTCTATACAGACAGACAGACAATAAAAATTCTTGATTTGGCTTCTGTTGCTCGTATAAAGACCGCCCATATTAATTTTTCTTTAATATCTATTATGTACAGACATCGGCCTGTAAAAATTTTATTATACGTATAGATTGTCGGAAAATGCGCACGACACCGCTTATGCACTTCACCCATTTCTACCAAGCCCCCTGTTCATTTGTTTAAATATATCACTAAGTGTAATTCGAAAATGTTTGAAATTGGGGGAGACCTCGAGCTTTTCATGTACATAGTTTAAAGAAAGGTGAAAAAAACTATATTTAATCCGCCCCAACCTATACTTCTTTACTTGTTAATTAAAAAATTAACTTTGTTGGATTGTTGTATATTCTGCTTTTACCATTTTTGTCATTACTTTAACACAATTTTCTCAGGTCCTGTACTTCTTTGAGCTTTGAAATACTTGGTCACATTACTAATACATATACATATGTATGCATGTATATATGTACATACATACATACATTATATTCTTTGTTAATTTTCAGTATGGTAGCTATCCGCCGCCAGAGAAGAAGCGAAAAGCATTCTTACTTTCACCTCAAATCAAACGTGATTTACAATCAAAACGTCCGAAACGCCCAAATATCGAAAAAAATGAGGATATTGTAACTTCGCGATCTAGTTCTAGTTCGCCAGATGAAAAACGCTGTTGCAATGAGTGCCTTAGAAGTGGAGGTACATACATAGATCATATAAAATATATCATATAAAACTGTTAAATACTTCTTCGTTAGGTTGTTTTGAACAATGTGTCGAATGCAAAGGATATTATCACCAATTATGTCAAATGGAGTATCATGAAGAAATAGATTCTAAAATACAAAATATGCAGCTGTGTTTATGTCCGGCGTGTAGGCGTTCACACCCAATCCAAATAAATAAAGGTAGGAATGTTCCATTGCCTTTTTAAGGAATTTAACTCTGAATCTTTTTATGAACAGAAGCACAACAATACAAGCAATTGCATTCCACGGCAGAAGATCTCGAAAAAAAACTCTCCCACGAAAAAGATCGGCGCGCCAGCTTACAACAGGAGAGCAAGATGTACAAGTTACAAATGCGCAAACTGTTTAACATCGTCAACACTATTAAAAGCGATCAGGAGAATGAGAGTTCAGGATAAAAATTAGTCAAAGTAACTTTTTTTTAAAGGATAAGCTAACATTTCACATTTTTCACAATTCGCCTAGTTTTAATGTTTGATTTATGGGCTTTGAATTTTACGAGAGTAATTTAATTGTTATTATGTTGATTGAAATATAACTATTTTTTCTCTTTATTTAATATTGTTTAATAAACCGCTTATTTAAAATATATATATATATATTGTAAGTATTTATCCAACATTCGTACCTACATTCAAATTCACATAAAACACTTTCTGTGAAGTTGAGTAATCGGCCTATGGTCGCAGTGACTGGGAAAATATATTAACAGCACATAATAATTGAAGACTTAAATTAGTAACGAATATAAGTAATTATGCGTAAGTGCGAAGAAAGTAATTCCCAAAGTAAAAGTGGTGCCTCTAATTCTCGATGCAGGATTGCATAGGTCTCCTTGGCAAAAGCACATGTAAACTTTTTTGTAATTGTAAACCGTATTGGCACATCGATCCTGATTGTCATCTGGCCCCCGCTGCACACACATTCGCTGAATTGCTTGGTCGTAATCTGAATAAATTTCAATTTTATATGTATATGTATAAGACAAGTTCCATAGTTAAATGCAATAACTGAGCTTAAGAATTTTTTTGGATAGATCAGAAAATATAACCTCTACTTCCACATGAAAACATTTGGATAAAATCTAATTTCAATATTATAAAAAGATTATATAACACAATTTAATTTAACAGGATAATTCCTTCTTTTCACTATACGGAATTAACAGGAAATGTTGCGTTTCGCCTGAATAAAAATATTTGAAATACATATGTATTTATGTATGCATATATGCTGGTCCAAAATAAGTAAAGTAGGAATTTAAATGCTCTCACCCCCTAGGATTGTACTATATCGAAAAATATACCCATCTTTTTATTTTGAAATCAAAAAATATTTAGAGGTCGCTCAAAGCGCTCAAAGTTTTCTATGTATTTTATGTAAGGGGAAAAGAACTTATCGTAGAAATGGTATGGGATTCTTGAAAATCAATATTTTTCGATCAGAAAGCTCTGGTTCTCTTCAGGAGACTTCCAAAAACAATAGCCATTTGTTTGTTTAACCATTTTTTAATACTAAAGATTTTATATTTATCCCCCCATTGCATTTTATGACATTTTCTGGGGGTTTTGGCGGACCTATAAAATATAGCTACTATGCAAAAATGGGCAAATAAATAATTGGGTATTATTATGGGGAATATACATATTTTTTGATGCATATACATACATACGTTAAAGCCAAGATTTAATATTTTTGAAGAGGATAAAGTAGATAACAATACGAAAACCCCAATTCGACCAAAAAACATATAAGTAAAAGTTTTGAAAAACGAGGGCAAATATCCATCCAATAATTCAAAATTAAATTTTCATTATTTTGCTCTGCTGTTGGGCAGCATACAAAATTTCCCAAAGAATTTTGCTGGAGCGACAGTCCTTGGCCAGATATGAATCTGAGTCATTCCGGTTACGTAGACCCGACTGTCGTATGCTCTCATAACCTTCCCTCATACCAAAACATTTTTAACATACATTTTTTGCTGATAACAAAATTTAAAGAAACGCTGGAATTTGCCCGTATCGGTACGTTAATATAAAAATGCTCTATCTCACATCGTCGCTGAAAAACAAAAAGCCGTAGCAACTATAAATTCAAATTCGGTTTTTTTTTTATTGATTATGAGGCATTTCATTGAATTATAAGTCCCCTCATCGTTGCATGCACTAAACATTTTATTTACTTAACGCGTATTTGCATTTCAGCGACGGTGTGAGATAGGGCCTTTCTATATTAAGGTAACGATATATTGTTTGATTCGTATATAGTATGTATATATATGTATGTATACTGTTGAGAAACTCGGTTACCGTCTACTGCATATGCGCCACCACCTTCGATCACTTTTCCACACCATCCAGATGCACAAGGTATAGCCGCCAAACCAGGTTCCTGTTCAACATCAGTTGCGTTAAAGTTAAATGGATCTTTGCAGCTGCCAAGTTCGCCCCTGGAGCGACATTGATAACAGCGCCGTAATAAACCTATAAAGAAAAGAAATTAGTTGATGACTAAAGCTATAATTATACTCTAACAGTGTCTACCAAATGTAGGCCTATTTCCAAACTGCTTCTATTGCATTTTGAGGGTTGAATGGAGTCTTAAGAGGTCCCTGAGAATTGCTTCAATTACGTAACTAGTTTCAAATGTGTAGTAGGGACATTTTCATGAGCTAATAGTTTCAGCCAATTAAGAACTATAAAAACATTGCAACCATTGATGCACAATTTACTAAAAAGTAGGAAGACACCGCCCATTTCCATTATTTAACGCTGTTCTTTATGGACTTAACGTGGTAATTTCGCATTTTGGCATGAAACAAAATTAAAAAAATGGGCAATACCTGTAGGTCAAATTAATTTTTTCTTCCCAACTATCGACACGATTACGTAGGTTTTAAAATGTACCGCTGCATAGATTACTTAAGGCCAAAGTTTTAACATGTGTATGTACATATGTACATAATGGTGGCTGTCACAGAATCCATCGTAGTCCAATTTTTCGTGATTCGCTATTCGAATTCAATGATAGCATTTTCGTAGATTTCACGAAAAATCTGACTACAATGGATTCAGTAGCTTTTTCTTAAAGTTTCAGACCTTTTACAGATATTCGGGCTCTTGGTGATTCCATCCTACTGCGATTTTTCGTGAAATCTACACAAAAGCAATAAGTGAATCAAAATTGTTACGAACATTCGTATGGAAAATGTATGTACATATGTATGTATATATGCATGTATATCATCGTTTTGTTGTATTGATTGGTAATAGCAAAAATTTGGTTCATTATGCTCTAAAAAAAATCTGTGTGCAAGATAAAAATTTTTGCTCAATATCTTAGGCTCACCCAAGTCCATCAAAATTCAAGTGGTAAAAAAAAAATTGTTTATTTCGATTCTCTGCAAAAAATGGTCCATATACCAAATTATGTAGGACTAATTCTTTCGAAGATAATTGCAATTTTAGTAAAAAAAAAATATGTTAATTTATTTATTAATTTTTAGTTTTTGAACACATTGAACTTTGATGGACTTGGGCGAGCCTAAGATATTGACCAAAAATTTTAATCTTGCACACAGGTTTTTTTAGAGCATAGCGAACCAAATTTTTGCTATTACCAATCAAAATTCTAAAAAAGTGGATTTTCGGCCCACGCTAATGTATGTATATGTTACCGGCCAATTCCGATCTTAGGACAAACTAGATTTGCGTGGGCTAAACTAGATCAGGAGCCACAGTATTTTTGCCGCTGAACACTTTCCGCGTAGGCGGCCTCGGGCTGTGCTTCAAAAAAATAACCGCATCAGTCCAACTCCAGCTACGCAGTGCAGAGTATTGTTGCATCGAACTTGTTACCGCGTTGGACGGATGTATTGGATCTTAATAGAACCAGTGTAGCCTAGGAAAAACGAGTTTGTCCGGGGCACCGAAATTGCGCATATGGAAACTGTGCATTTAGACATTATTTCGGTTTCAACCGAAACTGTGCATGTATGCTTTATTTCGGTTTTTACCATATGCATTATTTCGGTTTTAAACCGAAACTGTGCATGTATGCATTACTTCGTTTTTTTTCATATGCATTATTTCGCTTTTAAAACGAAAGTATGCATATGCATAATTTCGGTATTTTCTCATATGCATTATTTCGGGTTTCAACCGAAACTGTGCATGTATGCATTACTTCGGGTTTTTCATATGCATTATTTCGGTTTTCAACCGAAACTGTGCATGCATGCATTATTTCGGTTTTTGTTATATGCATTATTTCGGTTTTCAACCGAAACTGTGCATGTATGCATACCTTCGTCTTTCACATATGCATTATTTCGGTTTTCATCCGAAACTGTGCATGTATGCTTTATTTCGGTTTTAGCCATATGCATTATTTCGGTTTTGAACTGAAATTGTGCATGCATGCATTATTTCGGTTTTTGTTATATGCATTATTTCGGTTTTCTAACGAAAGTGTGCATATGGATAATTTCGTTTTTTCTAATATGAATTATTTACTTCTACTTAGTAAGGGTTTTAATCCCTAAGCGCGGCTGAAAGCCGCCTACGCAGAGAAAAGTTCTGCGCAAAAATACGTCCGCCCTTCTTTTCCGGCAATACAGAAAGGAGAATTCTACTTAGTAAGGGTTATAATCCCTAAGCGCGGCCGAAGGCCGCCTACGCAGAAACAAGTTCTGCGCAAAAGTACTTCCGGCCCCCTTTTCCGGCAACACAGAAAGGAGAATTCTACTTAGTAGGGGTTATAATCCCTAAGCGCGGCCGAAGGCCGCCTACGCAGAGAGAAGTTCTGCGCAAAAATACTTCCGCCCTTCTTTTCCGGCAACACAGAAAGGATAATTCTACTTAGTAAGGGTTATAATCCCTAAGCGCGGCCGAAGGCCGCCTACGCAGAAAGAAGTTCTGCGCAAAAATACTTCCGGCCCCGTTTTGCGGCAACACAGAAAGGAGAATTCTACTTAGTAAGGGTTATAGTCCCTAAGCGCGGCCGAAGGCCGCCTACGCAGAAAGAAGTTCTGCGCAAAAATACTTCCGGGCCCCTTTTCCGACAACACAGAAAGGAGAATTCTACTTAGTAAGGGTTATAATCCCTAAGCGCGGCCGAAGGCCGCCTACTCAGAAAGAAGTTCGTTTTCATGTATGCACTATTTCGGTTTTTGTCATATGCATTACTTCGGTTTTGAGTCGAAACTGTGCATGTATGCATTACTTCGGTTTTTGTCATATGCATTATTTCGGTTTTGAACCGAAACTGTGCGTGTATGCATTACTTCGTTTTTCTCATATGCGTTATTTCGGTTTTCAAACGAAAGTGTGCATGTATGCATTATTTCGGGTTTTTCATATGCATTATTTCGGTTTTCAACCGAAACTGTGCATATATGCATTATTTCGGTTTTTTTCATATGCATTATTTCGGTTTTCAAACGAAAGAGTGCATATGCATAATTTCGGTTTTTCTAATATGCATTATTGCGGTTTTCAACCGAAACTGTGCATATATGCATTATTTCGGTTTTTTTCATATGCATTATTTCGGTTTTCAACCGAAACTGTGCATATATGCATTATTTCGGTTTTTTTCGTATGCATTATTTCGGTTTTTTTCATATGCATTATTTCGTATGCACAGTTTCCATATGCACAATTTCAGGGTGCCGTTTGTCCTAAGATCGGGATTGGCCGGTAACATAAACTACATCAAAACGTATGCTACATACATATGTACATTTGCTGCTATTAGGATTCAATCGGACTAAGAAAGATTCAGCAATAGCCCCGATGGTAATCATATCTGTCATTGGTGTTGTAACAGCGTAAACATTCCCCAAACATCTTCGGCAAACTCTTCCGAAGTTACAGTCCTTGCCCAGAAATAAATCGAGATGATAGCGACGAACGACTGTTAGTTGGAAACGATTGTGGTTGTAACAGCATGTCCCCACCAATTTTGGGAATGCTGCTGTTGTGGCATTCCTCGGCCAGAAATAAATCTAGGTTTCAATTCCATACTTTGCTGCAAACATTCAATGTGCATACATACCTATATATGTACATAAAATATGTGTTGTATATGAATGTGTTTATGTATGTGTGTATCTACGTAGCTACAGAACAAAAGACTTCAACTAAAACGAACGCGAAGTTGTCCACAGTTTTACTAACCATTCGATATATGAGCACTGAAAAGTATAACTAAAACAACACATTTTTTATACATTTTGGCTTAGTTATTTATGATTTTTTAAATGTCAGTGTTTTTTAATATATGTATTAACTCCGTCGGTAATTCCTCAGCAACTTATTAATTTAGTTTTGAGTGTTGCCACATAAGTCAAATATTTGATAAACGCAAGATCACGCAAGAATAAGAGAGTGAAAAAAGTAAATTTTTTGAGCCATCTTGTTTAGCTGGAGAACGAAAGAAAAGTAAACAAAGCAAAGAATACAATGAAAACCAAAATTATTGTCAGACACTTTAAACACACAATTTAGCTTAAATGATTCATTAAAACGCTTTAAAACGTGTTGTCATGTTTAATTAACTCTTATTTAGTTAAATAAAAGAGTCAAATAGTGATGTAAACAAACGAACCAGTGCTTGCATGCGACAGATAAATTAATAGTGGTATTCACCAAAGTGAGCAAGTGGCCTGAAGATGATCTGCTCTTTTGCCAGACTGCCAAGCCACTTGCTCACTTTGGTGCAAGGCGAATTTATACAAGGTGGTGCTCAAGGTGAATTTAGATTTTCGCCGCGGTACTT